GAGAATCTAGCTCTGATTGCATAGTGTAGATATAGCCCTTGCCAACGAAACACAAAACAAAACCTTTAGTGGCTCCCCACAGCTTCCAGGACACAGTCCAAGTTCCTCGCTGGGACCTAGCTCTGTCTCCCCTCCCATTGCACACACCCCCGCACTGCACCCACTGTTCCAGCCAGGAGAACCACCTGCTTTCCTGCAGCAGACACTTAGCTCTTTTTTCATGCCTGTGATACAGGTACATCTTCCGTCTGGAAGCTGCTCCAAATATATAATATTGTATATATACAAATACTGTAAAATCATCTCGTTCGGCTTAGGGTGTGGCTCAGTGGTAGAATGCTTGCTTAGCATGCTTAGGACCCTGGAGTCCACCTCTAGTGTGGAAAAAAACAATAGTAAAACTCTCCTGCCACTCAGTAAAAGCCGAATTCTGCCGGCACCTGTTTCATTGTACTGGATTGCATGGAGTTTAACCTCAACACTAAATCCCTTGAAAAGGCAGAGACTGCACTAGACCAGTCAGTCCCTGGGTCCTTAGATCTTAGATCTTGAAACCTGGCCAAGAGTAAGAGTCTAACAAAAGTACACTGAAAGAGGCATCTAATATGTCTGCCAGTTTCCTCTCAGTTAAAAGTCATACCCTTATCCATTGATTGCATCTTAGCACATGGGTCTTTCCCTTCTCCAGTGAAGTAATCTCTTTGTTGATGTTTTAAGACAGGGTCTTGCTATGCAACCCTGTCTGAGCAGGGTAGAGAGATGGGGAAATTATGGAGAAATGGTGTCTTAGTTAAGGTTTCTATTGCTGTGAAGAGACCTATGGCCCAGCAACTCTTTTATGTTTTGTTTTGTTTTTTGAGACAGGGTTTCTATGTATTGCTTTGAAGCCTGTCCTTGAACTAGCTCTGTAGACAGAGTGGCCTGGAACTCACAGAGATCTGCCTGCCTCTACATCCCCAGTGCTGGGGTTACAGATTGACTTTTGGTTTTAACATGGGTGTTAGGGATCTGAACTCAGGTCCTCATTCTTGCCTGACAAGCACTTTATCCACTGCGCCATCTTTCCAGCCCCCAAATATCTTTTACGGATTTTTTTTATGTGTATAGACATTTTACCTGCATATATATTTGTATGTGTACCATATGTGTGCCTGGTACCTAAGGAGGCAAGAGGAAGGAATTGGATCTCCTGGAACTGGAGCTGCAGATGGTTGTGAGTTGTCATGTGGGTGCTGGGAATCAAGCCTGGGTCCTCTAGAAGAATATCCAGTGCGATTAACTACTGAGCCATCTTTCCAGCTACTCCCCACCTCCAATATCTTTCAATAATAATAATAATAATAATAATAATAATAATAATAAAAAAATCCAACTCTTTCATACTATCTAACCCTGAAAATTTTTAACTTAATTTTTATTTTATTAAAATATAATTATACAATTTCTAGCTCCTCCTTCCATCTCTCCTATGGCCTCTTTTTCTAAGCATTGCTGCTATATATACATTTATATGCAAATAAATATATAAATACAACCTGCTGGGTCTGTTTAATGTTCCTGGTATTTGAATGTTTCAGAAGCTGGCTACTTAGTGACCTCCTTTTATGAGATTCATCCCTGGAGGAGACTAGTTCTCTCTAGGTCCTTCATCCGGGGGTGGGGCTGCGTGAGATGTTCCTCATCCACTTTGGCATATCGACTGGTGTTACCATCGTTTGATTCTTGTTTAATTTAAGCAGTCATACTGTTGAGATTTCATGGAATAGTCTAAGGTTACTTTCCCTGTTGAAGCCATGAATCCAGGATTGACCTGTGGTTCCTGTGTCCCTAAGGATTAAGGGAATTCCTTAGACTGTTGAAGGTGGCAGAATGGGACTATGTCTCCTTTCTTGTACTCTTGACAAGGCTAACCTTAACCTTACTGGGTAGTCTAGACTTGTTTTGAATTTATAGCAATCTTCCTGCCTCAATGTTGTGGAAAAATATTTTAACTAGGCAAAGATGTTACATTTGTTTATGCTGCAAAGTATTATTTAAAACCATGTTTGTAAGGATTAAGGCATTGCGCTGGCCTGCCCCTGTCACCTGGCAGAATGCACTCAGGCAGTACTCTGGTCAGCCCAGGGTCCCATGAGTACTAGTCTGCAGGCAGGTGTAAAGGACCCCTTTAAAAGTCAGACCCCTGCCCACTTACGCTCTCTTTTGCTCTCTCCTGCTTTCGGTTGGCCACCAGCTACCCCCCTCCTCTCCTGTTCCCGGTGCCTCTATGTCTGTTCCCTTCTCCCTCACTCCCCTTTCTAAATAAATTCATTTAAGTTCTATCTGCCTGGTGTGTTATTCCCTCCCGCCTCGGTCACCCTCACCAGCTATGCAACCTGCTATGCTCTCCCTTACCTTGGGACCCCACTCACTTGGGACTCTCACCCGGGACGGCCCCCACCCCTTCTCCACCTTTTATTCTTGTAACTGTAACAAAAGAACAATGTGAAAGTGTGTTACATTTGTTTTTGCTGCCTTTGTTAACCATTGTAAAGATGTGTTACTTTTGTTTATGCTACATTTGTTTATGTAAAGATGTGTTGTATTTGTTTCACCTTGCTTGCCTAAGGAACCTGATTGATCTAATAAAGAGCTGAATGGTCAATAGCTAGGCAGAGAAAGGATAGATGGAGCCTGAGGGCAGAGAGACTAAAAAGGAAGAGGACTCTAGACTCTAGCAGTGGGGAGGAACAAGGAGGGGAGAGAGAGAGAGAGAGAGAGAGAGAGAGAGAGAGAGAGAGAGAGAGAGAGAGAGAGAGAGAGAGAACAGGGACACGCCTGGGGCAAGAAGTCAGGCAGCTGTCAAGCAGCAGACACTATCAGCAGTGAAAGTAAGATAACAGAAGAACCGTAAAAAGCCCTGAGGCAAAAGGTAGTAAAGAGAAACAGGTTAATTTAAGCTAAAGCTAGCCAGAGAGGAACAGAAGCTCGGCAGAGCATTCAAAACGAATAAGAAGTCTCTGGATCATGATTTGGGAGCTGGTTGGTGGTCCGAAAGAAAAGGCCTGGTACACTTGGGAGGCAGAGGCAGACAGATCTCTGTAAGTTGGTCTATAAGAGCTAGTTCCAGGACAGCCTCCTCCAAAGCCACAGAGAAACCCTGTCTTGAAACACAAAAACAAAAACAAAAAATAAACACAAAATAAAACAAAACCAAAAAGCAACAAAGTGCTGTGGTTACAAAACTATGTCACACAGCTGCCTTAATACAGTCACTTCTGTCTGCAAGACACTTCCAGCTTTCAGAGTACTTTACATTTACTCTTTTACCTCTCATTCTAGCTCTTTGGAGGATGAGGCAGGATTGCTATGAGTTGGAGACCAGCCTGGGCTACACAGTGAATTCCAGGCTATCCTGGCCTACGGAGTGACACCCCATCTCACAGTGTCATTTTTCATTCCCAACAATCTCAGAACTGAGAACGCTGAGAGTAGGAGCAGGAGTTTCCTTACCTAGGGTCAACCAAGTGAAGAAACATTTATAGTGTTTTTTGAAAATTCTCTGTTCCTTTGAGGTGTTTGAGGCTTTTCATTCTGCGGTAGTCCAAGCTAGCCTGGAACACCTGCCTGATTCAATTTCCAGACAGCTACTGTTTACATCTTTGTGCCCTTATGCATAATTCAGCAATATATTTTAAGATAATATAAGCTTTGACGACTTAACCAGACACACAGCTATGTTGATAGAGCTATTTGGAACCTAGTGTTTATACTTTGAAGTTCCTGGGGTCCCTAAAGCCCCAGTTAGTTCATTGACACCAGATGGACAAATTTGTCGATTTTGTTCTCCAATCTAGACTGATCCCACTCTGACTTTCAGCCCACACAGCATCAGACCCCTTGGCTATCTTTAAAAAGATTTAGCTATAAAAACAAACAATAAAAATTAAGAATTAATAAAAGATTTAGCTATGTATATGTGTATTGGGGGGGGGGAGTATGGACACGGAGGCCAGAAACATTGGATCCCCTGGAGATGGAGTGACAGAGGACAGCGAGCCACCTTTTGTGGATGTTGAAACTCAAATCTGAGTCTCCTGCAGGAGCATAGGGACCCTTAACCACGGAGCCCTTTCTCTAGCCTCTGATTTGCATTTTATCTAAAACCTGTAACAAGATAAATAGTGCCATATCTTCTTGTAATACCTAATTGTCCTATTTTCCTTAGATTCCACAAGATAGTATTATCTGGGCATGGTACCATACACCTGTAATTCCAGCACTTGAGAGGCTGAGAAAGGAGGAGTGACTTGAAGTTTTGAAAACAGCCTGGACTACCTAGAAAGACTGTCTCAAAACAAACCAAAACAGAGCAACAGCAAAAAGCCCAAAGGGACTCAGCAGACTCCCACCAATTGTTAAGGATAGTTTATTCTATAGAATCATAGACAAATGCTAGCAAGCTGCAGATCTGCCAAGACTCCGAGCCGGGCCTTCAATATTTTTTTAGATTTATTAATTTTATTTTTGTATGAGTATGAGCATTTGCCTGCATATACGTATGTGCTCCACATGCGTGCCTGGTGCACTTGGAAATCGGAAGAGGGCATCAGATCTCTCTGGAGACGGAGTTACAGTTGGTGTGGGAAACGATGTGGGTGCTGAGAATCCGGAAAGGGCAGACACCGCTCTTAATTGCTGAGCCATCTCTTCAACATGGCAAGCCCGTCTTAAGATAGCCCAGCCTGGGCTTCTGTTCTGTCAGGCCACCCACCCACTTTTCAAGGCCTACCAAAAAATAACTAATGAGCAGAACCTGAGCAGCAACAGATATCATTCACCACTCATCCAAACCCCCTTTGCTTCAGGGATAGTCTTAAAACACAATACCTTTGCATCGGACATCTGGTCCCTTTAAGGACATAATGGCCAGCCCCGCCTCCCTCCCACCTCTCTGCAAGGCTGTTATAAGTGGACCATTGTTTTATGTCCTTGGACAATTAACCGCGTGACACTCTTGACTCCTCCAGGTTCGTGGGATTGGGAATTTGGCCTCGTAACTTGGCAACCAATGAACTACCCACCGAAGGAGGCTGTAGGGGGCGTTGGGGTTTGTGCTTTACGGTTGGGTTACTCTGGGTTCGTAACGGTAGCTGGCTGCAAAGCCAAGCGTCCCCGCCCCCGTTGCCATAACAACAGTATACAGCCCGGACTACCCCACCCCCACCCCGGTTCGTTGCGTCTTCCAAAAATCAGTCCTGGCCTCTCAGCACCAAGATCCTCTCCATAACTACTTCTAAAGAAAAGAACCAGGGCCTACGCCTCCCTCCGAAGGCGAATTGGATTGGAGGGTTGGAAACTGTGCGTGTGTGCAACGGTGTTAAAACAGCGAATTATCGCATTAGAAGCAATGAATAGAGCAGGGGTTGGGGGTGGAAGGGAACCTGGAGGTGAGGTGTAGGTAAGGGAGGGGAGGAGGAGTTGGTGGGAACTCCATCTATCAAAGGGAATTCAGGAGTCAGGGACACTGTGTTGCTGGGGCAAAGTTGGAGCCTTTGTGAAGGCAGGAAAGGTCCGGGAGTATGGGAAGGTGTCCGGAAGGGAGTTAACAAGAGGCTGGGAGTTAAAAGTGATGGGTCTGTACAGAGTTCCCAGAAATGGAGGCGAGGGACTGGAGGGTTTGGTGGGGATGGGAACTTAAGACCTCCTTTCTCAGCACCAGGACTGAATTTCATCTGACTCAAGAGGGCAGAGGGGAGAAAGATGTCGGATGAAGATGATCTGGATGACATTGAGCCAGACCAGGATGACCTGGAAAAGGAGGATGATGACAAGGAGATTGAGGAGTGGGATGATTACAGGAAGGAGGGGGAGGAAGTCTCCGAGGAAGTGAGTGCCTGGAGGAGGGGTCCTGGAACTGGGGGGCTAGAGGGGAGCTGTAAAGAGAGGCCTTTACTGCTCCCTTCTTGCAGTGGCTGCCCACACCCCTCACGGAGGCTATGATGAAGGAAGGGCTGTCATTACTTTGCAAGACTGGCAATGGACTGGCTCATGCTTACATTAAGCTGGAGGCTAAAGACAGGTGAGGACTGAGAAACTGGAGCATCACAAGCCTCCCCTCTCTCATTCCTGGGTCTCTCTCATCTGATCTAATGGGAAGAGAAGGATGAAAAGATGCCCTCACTGTCCATGTTCTGGTTATGCTTTGCACATGCTAGACAAGCTTCCCCCACCCCAAGCTACATCTCCAAGCTAGGCAGAGACTCCACATGAAGGTTTGTCTAGCATGTACAACACACTGGTTTTCATCTCTGCACTGAAAAACAAAAACAAAACTCCACCTGCTGCCTCTTCCCCTCCCACTCTGTCACCCCATTATAAGCTGTCTCTGTTGCCCTATGTTGAGCACCTTTTCCAGTTCTTGCTGGGTTCTTATGCTTTCTGGTGGCTCTTCCCCCTGCCATGTCCTAGGGACCTCACAGACATCTACCTGTTGCACTCCTACATCCACCTCCGCTATGTGGATATTTCTGAGAATCACCTTACAGACCTGTCACCACTCAACTCTCTCACCCACCTACTGTGGCTCAAGGCTGATGGTAACCAGCTTCGGAGTGCTCGGATGAACGAACTGCCCTACCTGCAGATCGCCAGTTTTTCCTACAACCAGATCGCGGACACTGAAGGCATCTTTCATCCCCGTCTAGTAAACCTGGATCTCAAAGGTGGGTCCTTGGGAAGAGATACATAGAACTTTCCTCCCTAGCATGGGGCTGACACAAGTAGGAGGTATAGTATATTACAGTGGGGGGAGACAGGAGCTCAGTGCAGTCTGAGGTTTGGTGGAGACAGATGCAGTCTGAGGGCAGGATCGTCCCTTTGATCTGAGCATTGGTAGAGGTAAGAACTCTCTAGTGGCTGGCCACTTTGCTTCTGTGATCTTTGGGCAAGCTTTGTTACATCATAAACAAAATATCACCACATTTCCCCTTTTTTGTTTAAAATATCACCATAGTATAGGATTCGGCTGAGCTACACAGCTATCTATGAATTTATTCATTTATTTGTTAAAATACGTGCAGGACTGGGGATACAATTCAGTATTAAAGACTTGCCTATACTTATATGAGGGCTGGCCAAAAAAAGGTACTTATTATAGTTCACTATAATATTATTTTTAATTACATGTGTGTGAGTATGTGCAGGTGTCTGTGGAAACCAGAAGAAAGTGTCTTGTGATCTGTCTAATGTGGTTGCTGGGAATTGAACCCAGGTCCTCTGGAAGAGCACCCAGTGCTCTTAACCACTGAGCCATCTCTCCAGCCTCTCCATATAATATTCTTTATGCCAGTTCTTCATGCTAGAGATACAGCAATGAGCAAAACCAAAAATCTCTATTCTTACATAGAGTCCATTCTGGTTTAGGGTGCTGGACAATTAACGATGATCATATTAAGTAAATATAAGCCAGGCTTGGTGGCTGGCAACTCTAATTCGTATATGCTGGAGGCTAAAGCAAGATTGTTAGAGTTCAAGGCCAGTCTGGGCTTCATAGGGAGTTACAGGTCAGCTTGGCCGACAGAGTGGGACCCTGTCTAAAAAATAAAACAGAAAACACAGCTCAAAAAGGATATAAATTCTATAGAAAAATAGGTTGGGGAAATGCCACTGTGAGAGGCACAGGTGACAATCTCTGCCCCCCTCTCTCTTTCTTTTTCTGTGTGCGTGTTACAAAGGGTTGAATCTAGTGCGCTCTCCCACTAACCATGTCCCCAGTTCGGTTATAACTTTTTATTTCCATGGTTTATGCATTTTATGTATGAGTGCTTTGTCTCTGTGTACACCTACACACTAGAAGACAGCATTGGATCCTATTACAAATGGTTGTGAGCCATTATTTGGTTGCTGGGAATTGAACTCAGAACCTCTGGAAGAGCAGTCAGTGCTCTGAGCCACTGAACCATCTCTCCAGCCCCGACTTACTTTTAACTTTGAGATGAGTGCCAGGAAAGGATAGGCTCCATGTCTCAAAAAACCAAACAAACAAACAAAAACAGAGAGGGGGGGTCTCATAAGTTTCCCACGTTTGGCTTGAACTCACTCACCCAATAGTAGTCCAGGAATACTTAGATTTGTAGTCTGCCACTTCAGGCTCCTAAGCCCAGCACAGATGACAATTTCAAACTGACTGGGAAAACATCATTTGACCAAAAATGTGCATGGAGGGAAGGAAGTCATTGTTCAGGGGGGAAGGAGTGCATTGCTCAGGTATCACTAATTCATTCTCAAAGTCAGACAGACAAACCCTTTCTGCCACTTGCCTTGGGGCTCCAAAGATGTTATTCTGGGGTTGTTCCTCCTCCCTTTCTACCCTGCCTTAGAGTTAGAGGGGGACAGGGGTGGGGCAAGATTTCTAACACTGAACAACCCGAACGAACGGACCTTTGAGTGTCTGACTCCCTCCTCTTCTGCAGGGAACCGCATCCGCCAAGTGACTGGGCTGGACCCTGAAAGACTGACTAGCCTGCACACCCTGGAGCTTCGGGGGAACCAGATAGAGACCACACTGGGAATCAACCTTCCTAAGCTGAAGAACCTCTTCCTGGTAGTGCACTGGGTCCTAGGGTGGTGCAGGGAAGGGGGCACAGCCCTGGCTTGCAGATGGCTCAGCTGCTAGCTCCACCACGACCCTTTGCATGGTGTCCAATGCCGTGCAAATGTGGTTAAGACAAGACAGGCTCACATTTACACTCCTAGTACTTGGGAGGCTGAGTAAGGAGGGGCTGCTGAGAATTAGAGGCCGGTCTGGACTACAGAATAAGACTCTGACTCTTAGAAGGAAAGGGAGAGCATAAGGGAGAGGGAGTAAGAAATATAGGCTTTCAATCTAGCAGGACTACAACACACAGTGTGTGGAAAATGCAGAATGTTTTAATACAGGTTGTACAGGTTGTTGCAAAATGTGCTATTCAGGTATGGAAAGCAGGCTAAGGAGGCCACTTAAATATTTATTTAGTATTTATTTATTTATTTATTTATTTATTGAGATAGAGTTTTTGGAGGTGGGGGGGTGTCAAGGCAGGGTTTCTGTATAGTCTTGGCTGTTGTGGAACTTGCTCTATAGACCAGGCTGGCCTGGAACTCAGAGATCCACCTTCCTCTGCCTCCCAAGTGTTGAGATTAAAGGCTTGTACCACCTGGCCTGAGACAGGGTCTTATATAGCCCCGAAATGACTATGTAGTTGAGGATTACCTTAAACTCCTCCTGGTCTTCCTGCCTCTAACTCCCAAGTGCCAGGATTCCAGTATGAACCATTATAATTAACTATAGTTTTGGTTTTGTTTTTTGGGGGACAGGGTTTCTTTGTGTAGCCCTAGCTGTCCTGGAACTTTCTCTGTAGACCAGGCCTCAAACTCATTGATCTGACTGCCTCTGCCTCCCAAGTGATTGAATTAAAAGCATGGGCCACCACTGCCCAGCTATACTCTACTGTTTTTATTTTGCATGTTTCTGTCTGTATGTGCACACAGGTGTGTGCAAGTGTGCAGCTGTGTTGTGTGTGGAAGCCTGAGGTGGACATCAAGCAACCTCCTCGATGGCTTTCTACCTTGTGTTCTAAGACAGGGTCTCTCACAAAACCCAAGCTCCTGATGAATTAGCTGCCTGGCCAATGGGCTCCAGGGATCTGCCTGTCTCTACCCCAATATTGGGCATTGCAGACAGTACACCCCCAACCCCCAAGCTTGGCTTTTTAAGTGAGTGCTGGGGACAGGAACATGCGTCCTAATGCTTGCATGCCAAGGATTTTACTGACTGAGCCATCTCCATGTCCTGTGTTTTGTCTATTTGTTTTTTAAAGAGCCATAGCATGTATTCCTGGCAGGCCTAGAACTCACAGCAATCCACTTGCCTCAGTCTCTCAAGTGCTGGGATTTACAAGGTGTGCCACAATGTCTCCTTTTGTTTTATTACTTTACTTCCCCCCCCCCCCCGAGACAGGGTTTCTCTGTATTACTTTGGAGCCTGTCCTGGAACTAGTTCTGTAGACCATGCTGGCCTCCAACTCACAGAGATCCATCTGCCTCTGCCTCCTGAGTGCTGGGACTAACGGCGTGTGTCACCAATGCCTGGCATACTTTACTTCTGAAGAATATTTATTTTTATGTCTGAGTGTTTTGTCCGTATGTATGTATGTATGTATGTATGTATGTATGTATGTATGTATGTATAGTGCCTTGTGTGTGCCTGGTGCCCCTGGGGATCAGAAAGGTCAGATCCCCTGGAACTGCAGTCACAGATGGTTGTGAGCTGCCATGTGGGTGCTGGGAACTGAACCTGGGTCTTCTGAAACAGCAGCAGGCTCTCTTAACAGAGCCATTGCTCTGACCTCAGGTTTGCTTTGCTTCTGAACAGGGTCTCCCTGTGTAGCCTACACCGGTCCGAACTCCTTATGTAACTGGGGTCATAGCTGTACACTGTCATACTAGCCTCTAAGTGTCTGTCCCTTTAGGCTGGACAGGCTGCTTTCTGGACTGGTACTACAGCCAGTCCTTGGTGAGTGAATGGGGCTCCTGGGCCAAGGGCAGGTTCAAGCAGCCCTTCTGTAATCAGAGATGGCCTTGATGGGGTCATTAGCAGCAGAATACAGCTGACCATTTGTTGTAGTGGCAGCTTCTTCTCTTCCCCTTCTTTTGGTCTACCTTTTTTTCTTTCCTTTTTTTTTTTTTTTTTGTATTAGGGATTGAAACCAGTGCCTTTGCACACACTATAGGAGTGTGCTACCACCAAACTGTCTCACTAGCCTAGAAACTATTATGTGTTTCCAGTGGCATACTTTTTTTTATTATTTTTATCATCACCATCATCATTTTTTTTTTCATACTCCTGGGAAATGTAGTCTTTAGACTGCTTTCTCTTTTCAAGTTAACATTACTTTACAGTGACTTCTTGGGGTGGGGGTGGGGATGCACAACACAGCATGCAGGTGGTGTCAGAGATGACTTGCAGGAGTTAGTTGTCTTTCCAGCGGGTGGGTACTGGGGAAGGAAACAGGTTGTCAGGCTTGGCTCATGGAGCAATCCTGCTGATCCTGTCTTTGTCTGTCTTTGGGGGATGGTATTTGAAACAGGTGTCACACTATAGTCCAGCCATGCCTGGAGACTCACTAAGCAGCCCAGGCTACAATCTTCCTGCCTCCAGAATACTAGGATTTTGGGGGTGGGCCACCACACCTAGTTTTGGTCTTCTTTGTCCTTTATGCCTCACTCTCTTATCTGTCCCTACTCTCCTCCATTCCTCCCTCTCTACTTGGATTTCTTCTTTGCTTTGTCATCCCTTTCCCACTTCCTTCTTTCTGCTCCCCTCTCTGAGTTAATGTATTGCATGCTGGGGTGCAGGCTCAAAACACTCTGAAGAAGATAGAAGGCCTGGAAAACCTCAGCGAACTGACCACATTGCACCTCCGAGACAACCAGATTGAAACTCTGGACGGCTTCTCCAAGGAGATGAAGTCACTGCAGTACCTGAACTTGAGGTACAGGGTGCATCCTCTCTAAGGCCCACCTTGCACCTCCCCATCACCAGAGCAGCTTCTGAGTCAGTGGCCCTCTCCCAGCAACCCAGGGCTGAGTCCTTACCTTGTTCTCCTTCCGAGTCTTGCACTCTGCTTTCTTTCTTCTGTATTTAATTCAAAGAGCAACACAAAGATCTTCTTGAGAGCCCTGAGTCCTTATGTTAATTCAATCCATAATGAATAAGAACATACTGTATTTAGTAAGGCTTATGCTGTGTTTTAGAAATATCTAAAAGAATCAGAAATACATGCTCCCTGTTTTTCCTTTTTTTGTTTTTGTTTGTTTGTTTGGACAGGGTTTCTCTGGCCTTGAACTCAAAGATCCCCCTGCCGCTGCCTCCGAGGGTTTAAAGATGTGTCTCATGGCGCTGGGCTTCTTCTTCTTTTTTTTCTTTTTTTTTTTAATTTATTTTTTACAATCCAATTCCAGTTCCCCCTCCCTCCTCTCCTCCTGCTCTCCCTTCCTTCCCTCCATCCCACCTCCCATCTACTCCTCAGAGAAGGTAAGGCCTCCCCTAGGATGTCAACTAAGTCTGTCCTATCACCTTGTTGAGGCAGGACCAATGTGACCCACCCCAAGTCTAGGTTGAGCAAGTTATCTCTCCATAGAGAATGGGCTCCATGAAGTTAGTTTATGCATTATAGTTAGGTCTTGGTTCCACTTGGGCTTTTTTTTTTTAATTTTTAAACATGGGGGTCTTGCTACGTTACCCATGCTAGCCCCAATCTCTATCAGGTTTCCTGGGTAGCTGAGATAGGTATTCACCACTATGTTGCTGTTTTTAAGCAATTCACAGTCTGACTCCAATGCCATTTTCCTGTCTGTATCCTACATAAATGTCCTTCTCTCTCTCCTAGGCCCCAATTACCCTTTCCATTTCTTGTCTCTTTCTTCCTGAACTGGACACTACCTGTACATGACAACCCTTAAGTGATATTAAACATAAGATATAGCAGAGCAGTGGTGGTGCATGCCTTTGACCCCAGCAGTCGGGAGGCAGAGGCAGGCAGATCTCTGAGTTTGAGGCTGCCCTGGACTACGGAGCAAGTTTTGGGACAGCCAGGGCTACACAGAGAAACCCTGATTTGAAAAATCAAAAAAGAAAGAAGAAAAACTCAAGGCCGGATGTGGTAGCACATACCCACAATCCTAGCCCTTGGAGGCAGGAGGATGCTACAAGTTCAAGGTGGTAGCCAGGCCAAAATAGTGAGTAGTTCTGTGCTAGTCAGGGTACAAAGTGAGACAAACAAAACAAGACACTCAAAAAATAAACAACAGCAAAGCCAAACCAAAGCAATGAGAGCAATAAAAACAATGGGACACGGCGGCTCATGTCTATAATCCTAGAGGGTTTCAGTGAATTGAGGATAGCCTAGGCTGCATAGCAGACTCTGTGTCACACCTCCCACATACACACAAGGAAGGGATGAAGAGGAGGGAAGATGAGTGGACACACATAGGGTCAGAGGGATTTTTCTCTTAGCACCTCTTTTCTGATGGACAATTGTTTATCTATCTATCTATCTATCTATCTATTTATTTGTGCTTTTCTCAATCAAACCCAGGGACTCATGCATGTGAAATATGTACAAAGGCTAATAAAATGCAATAGAGCTCAAAGTAAGAAATGTTCTTCGAGGCCCACAATATTAAGATTAATCTGGCATACTTAAAAATGATTTCATAAATGTTTGAAAGACAGGAGCATGCCATCCCATACAGTCTCAGAAGTCCGCCTTAGAGGACTGACCTTTTTACTCAGTTGGGATACCAAATCCATCCCTAGTTCTGGCTTCCTTACTGAAGCAAGCATCCACACAACACCCCAACTCCACAGCACCCCACACTTATGCACGAGCTCCTTCCCTGCTGACCTGATCCTTATAACCTCTGGTGTGATATGGCTGACACAGAAAATGTCTGCTCCAATAAGGGATGCTTGCCTTCTTCTCCAAATACAAGAGAGGATGAGGCCTAACTTTGCTGCTCCAAAATTTTAAGGTGACACATCACAGAGCAGAGGCTGGCAACTAGGGATTCCTTGAAGGTAGAGGCGGGGATAGGGAATTGCATCAGGCCAAGTCTGGCCACACTTGGCAGACCAATCCTCAACAGTCACTGCTTTTAGGGCTCAGTCGGATGTTTTTAAGGAGAAAGCCCGGTTCCTAGCTAGCAATCAAAGCCCATGATCCTGACTTAAGCTCTCGTGACCTCATCCATAGGAGTAACATGATTAGTGACCTGGGGGAGATGGCCAGACTGCGCGACCTGCCTAAACTGCGGGCCTTGGTGATGTTGGACAACCCGTGTGCAGACGAGACCGACTACCGCCAGGAGGCGCTGGTCCAGATGGTACACCTGGAACGCCTGGACAAAGAGTTCTTTGAGGATGAGGACCGGGCTGAGGCTGAGGAGATCCGTCAGAGGCTGAAGGAGGAGCAGGAACAGGAGATGGATGCAGAGCATGACATGGAACCATACACGCCATCGGTTTAGCTGCTCCTCCAGCCTACACCGACAGTAAGGGAGATGGATGCCAGATGCTGGGAAGGCAGCTGCCGGAATTCAAAGGCTGTGCACACAGAAGAGGCCAGGAGAACCCTTAGCAGAGACAGGACTTAGGGGCCGGAGGTATCTTAGGTATGAAGGAAAGAGAAGAAGAGGCCCGCGAAGAACTGGTAAAAGACAAAAGAGAGCAGAAAAGTGGGGTGAATTGGATTGTCAGGCAGAAGGGCTGATGTGCAGGCATATCAAGCAGAGATGGTTATAAAGGGATAGGTCGGGGTCATGAAGGAGCTGTGTGTGTGTGGGGGGGCTCGTGGTATCTGGAGGATGCAGTTGGGCCAGGGAAAAGATCCTGCACTAAAAGTCTAAACCTAAAAATAACAGGACACTGGTGGAGGGTGGGGTGGAGACTGAGGAGCCTTGGGACACGGGCATTATGAGTGGGCTACAGCTACTCTTCTGTTCTCTTCTTCCAGGAGACCATTGACACTGGCCTCAAGAATTGATGAGACTCCAGCGGGGGCCCACCACATTCATAGCCCCGTGATAGGAATCAGGGCATGCTGGAAATCCATCATATCTCAAGGCCCAGGCTCTTTGGTGGTCATCTTTGTGTGGCTTAGTTTGTGGGCCTAAACTCCTAGGCTCTGTCTGGAGTCTAGATTGAGGACAGCCCACAAGCAGGTCGGGCCAACCAGGATGCTAGTAGGGGTTGTCTGGAGAAAGGAGCTGAGGAGGGGGGCTGTGATGGGACAGTTCGGGTTTCAAATAAAAAGGGATTTTGATATTCTTGCGTCTGACCGAGTTCATGATCCCCCGTGATGTGCTGCTTATCCATCAGCGTGGGTCAGTACCTGCCGCAGTACTGAGTGAGGCGGCGCCTGCTTCCCTCGAGTTGGCTGGACATGGGTTATGTGAGTGCCAGTGCGCCCACGGGGTCCCCATTCTGGTCCTGGACCGCCCCGGCCCCTCCCCCACCGGTTCGGTTCCCCGCCACCCCCCGCGCTCGTACGTGCGTCTCCGCCTGCAGCTCTTGACTCATCGGGGGCTCCGGGTCACATGCGCCCGCCTCTATAGGCACCGCCCCCTGCCCGCCCCCATCCCCCCCCCGCCCGCGCTGGGAGCCGCAGCCGCCGCCACTCCTGCTCTCTCTGCGCCGCCGCCGTCATCACCGCCGCCGCCACCGCCACCGGCTGAGTCTGCAGCCCTCGAGGTGAGGCCCGTATCGGGCCGCATCCCCCTTACTCGCTCCTTGCCGCGTTCACTCCCCGCCGTCCTGGGCTTGGCGCGCCGGGCCGGTGACGCTGCATACCTGCCTGTCACCTGCCTTCCCCAGCACCCTCCATCCCGGGCCTTCCCGGGCAGCTCCCGGCTTTCTGGCGCTTACCTCCTCCAGGTTTAGATTCCAGGTCTCTGCACTCGCTTCTCTAACTGCACGGTCCCACCCTCGCCTGCCCCTCTCCCCACGCCGGTCTTCGTCTAGGGTCCTGCCAATTTGTTTCTTAAGTTCGATGTCTCGGCGGGCCGCGCGTGTTTTCCTGGCACGTCCTTTTTGCTTTGCGACTGGGGAGATGCCTTTTCTCACCCTTCCTTGGCTGCCTCAGACTTGCTCTAGACTCGCCCTTCTCTGCCTCCTTCCTTCTCTTTGCCCCTCTCCTTTCACATTTCCTTTTCTCCGATGCATGGGGGAGGGATGAGAAGTGTGGGGAATTTATTTGGGGGTAGGGAAGACGATAGGTCCAGCCTGGACTACCTCACCATTCCCCACTGCAGCCTCTAGGGACTGGAACCTGTCCCCAGGATGCTGTCTCCAGACTCCTCTTTAGAAAAGAGGAGGAATTCATATTTGGGAGAGAGGTGACCACCCCGGAGTGTTTTATAGACCCTATGTATGGGAACTGTCAAGTTGGGGCTCCGCTTGTTCAGACATCCCCTCTTCTTCCTGTTCCAAGATCCAAGGAAAAAATGCCGCCTGGCAGCCATCCCGCTTGGGGAAGTCTAGGGGAACCCCACTGTCGGAGAAGCTGCCGAGGGGCAAAGGAATCGCGGGCCGGGCCGTACCGCTCCCCTCTTCCCTGCGGGGTTCTCGCGTCTTATCATGAGACGTACCCCGCCCCTACTGCAGTGACCTCCCCTTCCTCACTGCATTGACCTTTCCCTCTCTCCGTGGGGGAGGGAACACCCCTTCTACAGAGTGGCTGACTGCAGCCTGCTCCTCCCCACCCCCTACCCACTGCAGTAACCTCTTTCCCGGCCCTCCCAGCCTCTGGCCCCTCCCACTGGCCTCAGGCTCCACCCTTCCAAGCCTCTGATCTTTCTCCTTCCTTCACTTCCACCCAAGGAGATCCCAACCATCATCATGTCTATAGAGAAGATCTGGGCCCGAGAGATCTTGGACTCCCGCGGGAATCCCACCGTGGAGGTGGATCTCTATACTGCCAAAGGTGATGGGCGGGGCATGGGCTTTCCACAGCCCCCACTTCCCTTATGGTGGGTCTGGCAGGTTTCAGAGGTTTTTCTTCATGCCCAGGGGCCAAGGGGTGCTAGGCCAGGTTCCAAAAGCTGGATTGTGGAGTCCAAATTTCCTTGACTTGTGGAGCCAGGCTAGAGATGGGTCTGTGTTCTAGTTCAGAATGAGAAAGGCCCTGCCTCTCTGTCTGTGTGCCTATGAGAGCCCAGGAGCACGCATGCTCTGCCTAGCATAGCTTTGTTTCTGTGGCCTCCCACATGTGCCTGTGAGGCCCCAGATGGGCGGATGAGGGGGCCCTGCTTGTACATCTGGCACAGTGTACGTGAGTGTGTGTGAGTCTCCGAGTGGTGTTAGGGAACAGTATGGGGAGAAGTCTGCACGTACGTAACACCACGTAGGAGTTTAGTGCCCTCCCTCACTGTGTCTTTTTCCAGGCCTGTTCCGGGCTGCAGTCCCCAGTGGGGCCTCCACTGGCATCTATGAGGCCCTGGAGCTAAGGGATGGGGACAAACAGCGTTACCTAGGCAAAGGTGATGGCATCCCTCTCCTAGCATGCCCCATCCCCTAGATGCCTTCCCCTTCCTTCCCTCCCCACCTCCTCCTGGACTGACCCGGCCTTCTTCCTCTCTCTAGGTGTCCTGAAGGCAGTGGACCACATCAACACCACCATCGCACCAGCCCTTGTCAGCTCAGTGAGGCCCGCTCTTTCCTGGGGGGGGGGAGGGGCTGCTAGACCACGCTCCTAGAAAAAAAATCTTGGATCCAGGGAGGGACAAGGGGATGCAAAAAAGCCCACAGTTTAGGAATTGTGGTTACAAAGGGAAGGTGGGGAAATACTGCTTGCTGCCCCTGCAGGAGCTCAAGGTCCCTAAAATTGTCAGGGCAGGCCACTGTCACGGGGATCTAGTGGTACCCTACTCACATGGAAGACTGTGTGTGAATGAGGGGACCCTCTGTCTTAGGGCCCAACCTCCATCTAGGCTCTGGGTAATGGGGGCTCTGCCCACAGGGTCTCTCCGTGGTGGACCAAGAGAAACTGGACAACCTGATGCTAGAGTTGGATGGGACTGAGAACAAATGTAAGCAGGGGCTGGGCTGGGCAGAATAGGACAGCACAGGGAACTGAAGGGGCTGGCTGGGGACACAGTGTCAGAGGACATCCTCCTCCCTCACCCAGAGCCACTGCAGAGGGTAGGAGTGACATTAGACAGAGAGACAGGAGTTGGCATGGGGTAGTCCAGGGGATGTTTAGGGAGAGGTGAGGTCTTCTCCTTCATCATCTCCTTCCCTAACCCCACTATTGGTAGAAGATGAATGAGGTTGGAGGGCGGGGGTTGGGAAGTCTCATTTACGAGCTTTTCTAGGGAGCGTTAGGTGGGGCAAGGGCTGAGAGAGGGAGAGACATTTTTGCTCAGTGCCTTCCTCTGTACTCTCCCAGCCAAGTTTGGGGCCAATGCCATCCTGGGTGTGTCTCTGGCTGTGTGTAAGGCTGGGGCAGCTGAGAGGGACTTGCCCCTCTATCGCCACATTGCTCAACTGGCTGGGAACTCGGACCTCATCCTGCCTGTGCCGGTGAGCCTAACCTCTTCAGAGGAGGAGGGAGCATGCAGTCTGGTGAGGGATGAGGGGAAGAAGGTGATCGGGCAGCTAAAGAGAATGGATGGGGATGTGAGACCTGAGACTGGCATTTGGGGGACCCTGGGACCCCATCCCAGGGGCAAGGCTCTTTAGTTCTTCTGTGACTCTGACTCTGACCATCTGTGACTCCTCAGGCTTTTAATGTGATCAACGGTGGCTCCCATGCTGGGAACAAGTTGGCCATGCAGGAGTTCATGATCCTCCCAGTGGGTGCTGAGAGCTTCCGGGATGCCATGCGACTTGGGGCAGAGGTGTACCACACACTCAAGGGGGTCATCAAGGACAAGTATGGCAAGGATGCCACTAATGTGGGGGATGAAGGTGGCTTTGCTCCCAATATCCTGGAGAACAGTGAAGGTGAGGCCCGGAGCCCTCACTCCAGCTCTGAGCCTCACACTGGGAAAGGTGGCACACACGGGTACTCAGGGGTACTGGTGGAAGGTCCTTGAACTTCTGAAAGTCTCAAGAGGTACCGGCCCTTAGGCTGGACTCCAGGAAGCCTGATTTCACATATAGACCTTGGCTGTCAATCTTTTACCTGCCCAGCCTAGTCTGTTAGCATAGGTCCTTGCTGGAACTGGTGAGAATATTGGGAAGTGGTCTGGGTAAGGTCCATTTCATCCTATAACGCCACAGACTTAGTTAGATGACATATACCATGCTTTAGGAGGTAATTACACATCAGTGAGACCCCCATCCCAGCCTCTCAGAAGGTGTCCAGGTTTACTGCATTCTCTGTGCTGCAGAAGAGGGACCGTAAAGGTTAACAGTGAAGGTATTGGCAGGTATGGCTCAGGGGGTAAAGGGAGTGGTTAACAGTGAAGGTACTAGGAGGTATGGCTTAAGTAGTGCGCCTGCTCAGCCTGGCTGAGGCCACCACACCACACAAAAATTCACACATGCAAACACACACACGTAAATGCATACATATTGGTACACATGCATGCACAGACTCTGCTCTGGAATCAGATTATTTGCATTTATTTGAACATTGAAAACTTATTGGCTGGAATCCCCAACACTTGAGAGGCTGAGACATAAGGGTTGCTATGAGCTTGAAGCCATACTGGGCTACATAAAACCATGTCTAAAAAGAAGGAAAGAAAATAGTAATGATAATAAAGATGCAGAAATGGTCTTTTTAAGGGCCAAACATTTGCCAGGCAGTGGTAGCACACAGCTTTAATCTCAGCATTTGGGAGGCAGAGGCAGGCTGATCTCTGTGAGTTCAAGACCAACCTGGTCTATAGAGTGAGTTCCAGGACAGCCAGGGTTACACAGAGAAACCCTGTCTCAAAAACCAAAAACAAACAAATAAAAACCCAGGAAAACAAAACAAAAAAATCCAAGCATTTGAGCAGGGCATGGAGATGCACACCCTTAATTCCAGGTAGAGGCAGGTACATCCCTGAGTTTAAGGCCAACCTGGACTTCCCAGAGAGTCCCAGGTAAGCTAGGGCTACATGGTGAGAACCAGAATCAAAACAAAACAAAAAGGAATAACCCAAGTTTTACAAAGATCTTTGAGAACTAAGTGAGATAATATATGTAAAATGCTAATATGATACCACACTAAAGAAAACCGCTCTTAGGGGCTGGACAGGTGGCTTGGCAGTTACAAACACTGGCTGCTCTTGCAGGGGACTTAGGTTTGGTTTTCCACACCCATGTGACTCGAGGGAATCTAACACTCTTCTGGCATCTGGGCACCAGCATGGACATGGAGCAAATACATATATGAAGGCAAAATAGTTAATACACATAAAACAAAAATAAATGAATTTTAAAGCACACACACACACACACACACACACACACACACAAACACACACACACACACGCTGCTAACCAGGCTTGGTGGGGCAGACCTATAATCCCAACTACTTAGAGTTTGAGGAAGGAAAATTGAAAGTTCAAGGTATGCCTAAGCTACAGAGTGAGTTCAAGACCAGCTTGGACAACTTAGTGAGACCCTTTCTCAACATGTAAAAAGGGGTGGGGATGCAGCTCAGGGGCACAGAATTTGCCTCAAATGAATGAGGCCTAGGTTCAAGACCCAGCACCGGGATGAGGTGTGTTGGAGTGGGAGTGTAGGGGAGGGTCTTGGGGGAGGGGGACCAACGCTAGTAACAGAATCCCACTCCTCTGACTCCCTACATAGCCTCTCCCCAGGCCTTAGCCACACCTACTCTCCAGTCCTTTCTTTCTACTCATGATCCCTCTTTCCTTCCTACCGTTTTCTCCTACTTATGATTTCACTGTGTTTGTTTCCAGCCTTGGAGCTGGTGAAGGAAGCCATCGACAAGGCTGGCTACACAGAAAAGATCGTGATTGGCATGGACGTTGCTGCCTCCGAGTTTTATCGTGATGGCAAATATGACTTGGATTTCAAGTCTCCCGCTGACCCTTCCCGATACATCAGTGGGGACCAGCTCGGGGCACTGTACCAGGATTTTGTTCGGAACTATCCTGGTGAGAGCTAGGGAGATGGGAGATAGGAAAGGGGGAGAAGAGAAATAGGCAGGGACCCTGTAGGACAACTGTGGACTTTATGGAGTGCAGTCTGGTGCTAGGTGAGAAGTAGGGAGAAGGGGAAGGCGGTTCCTACAGAGCCGTGCTTTGAGTGTCAGGTAGCTGTGAAGGGTCTCCTCCATCTGTTTCAGAACCTGGGCTCCAAGAGCTTCTGGGTCCTAGGGAGGGCTCTGGAAGGAGCAGGGGTGGGGAGACATGGATGGATGCAAGAAAAGGGGTGATCTTTGATGAAGGTAGATTCTGAGTGAGGTTGGCACTGTTGCCTGGAAAGGATCACTGAGTTAGTCTCCTTGTCTACCAAGGACTGCTGTCCCCACTCTGTGGAGGCCATCGGCTTCACCTTCTGGAGACAAAGTAAAATAGATACGAGTTGAGAAGGAAAGAGTTAGACTAGTAATGAGAAAGGACTTCCAGGCAGGAAGACTAGAAGAACTAAGAGAGGGTGTGAAGAAGGTCAGTTCCCTGGTTACTGAAACTCGTATGAAGTGATGGGAATCCAAGCAGGATTGTTTGGGAAGGTGGGGGACACGGATGAGGAGGCTTTGCTATGGCAAGTCAGAGGAGGGCGAGGGTGTCCCTCCAGAGCTCAAGAAGCATCAACAGTCCCTGTCCACTCGCTCTCCAGTGGTCTCCATTGAGGACCCCTTTGACCAGGATGATTGGGCAGCTTGGTCCAAGTTCACAGCCAATGTGGGCATCCAGATAGTGGGTGATGACCTGACAGTGACCAACCCGAAGCGTATCGAGCGGGCAGTGGAGGAAAAGGCCTGCAACTGCTTGCTGCTCAAGGTCAATCAGATTGGCTCAGTCACAGAAGCCATCCAAGCGTGAGTGGCTTCCGGCCCTTCTCCCACCTGGCCCTTGTCCTTCAGGGCTCCCCTCCCAAGTCCTCCTAACCTGACTCTGCTGAAAGTTGATGTTGATGAAAGTTGGGTACCTTTCACGACCCTCTGGCTTCTATTCTCTGTACTGCATGCTCTGTCCCCACTTCCTGCTTAGTCACTCTCCCACAGGTGTTTCTTGACATAGACCAAGCCCAGGGCCGGGCCGGGAGGGAATACCTTGCCTCGGGGCGGAGGTCAGTGCTGGTGTGTCCTGCAGGTGCAAGCTGGCCCAGGAGAATGGCTGGGGGGTTATGGTGAGTCATCGCTCTGGAGAAACAGAGGACACATTCATTGCTGACCTGGTAGTGGGACTGTGCACAGGCCAGGTGAGTGGGGTTACTCTCCTGACAGAAGATCCAGAGTCAGAGAAGCTTCAAGAGTAGACATTTTGCCAGGCATTGGCATCCTGCACCTTTAATCCCCAGCACTGGGGAGGCAGATGGATCTCTGTGAGTTAGAGGCCAGCCTGGTCTATATAGTGAGTTGCAGAACAGTCAGGAGTATACAGAGAAATTCTGTCTTACAAAGAAACAAGAGTAAAAAGGGTAGAAGTTTTGAGCTGGTGAGATGACTCAGCGGTAAGGTACCTGGTGCCAGGCCTGGCTGACAGCTTGATTCCTGGGACTCCCTCATTGGAAGGAGAGAACCAACTCCCGCCAGTTGTCCTCTGACCTCCACATACACACCATGGCATGAGCAGACACTGTGCCATATAAACTGACACAGAATGAATAGACTATGGGTTTTTAACAATGAACTAATTAACACAAATGCAGAGTAGAAGCTTCAGGGATGGAGGTTTAGCTCAGTTGCAGAGCTAGCATGTGCAAGGTCCTGGGTTCCATTAAAAAAAAAAAAGTAGGGTATGATAATGCATGCTTTTAGCCCCAGTGCTCAGGAGGCAGAGGCAGGAGGATCTCAAGTTCAAGGCCAGCCTGATCTACAGAGTGAGTTCTAGGACGGTCAGGGCTACACAGAGAAACCTGTCTTGAAAGAACAAAATAAATAAACAAACAGACAGATGACCTGGACTTGGTGGTACATGCCTTGGGAAATAAAGGCAGAAGGCTCAGGAGTTCAAGGCTAGCCTTAACGAAACTGTTTCAAAATTTAAAAATGGGACTGGGGGTAGCATTGTTTGAGGGTGAAGGAAATCTTTAAGCTGCATATCCTCCGGAATGTTTCAGATCAAGACTGGCGCCCCATGCAGGTCTGAACGCTTGGCGAAGTACAACCAGCTCATGAGGTGAGGAGGGTCCCTGAAGGACAAGAACCCAAACCTGGGACTAAGCACCCCATTAGGCTGTCATTCCGTCTCTAGCATCCAGGTCCTGGATAGGAGTTGATGCCAAGAAAAGAAAATACTTATGCTTAGTGGGCTGTCTGATTGACAGATTGCTAAGGTCACACTAAAGCCAGGGAATGTTCACCCCGGGGGCAGTCCTCAAAGGAGGAGCCTTGAGGGACCCAGAGAGAAAGCAGATCCCTCCTGCTCCCCTGACTGCTACCCTTCTGGATCATCTCTCAGAATTGAAGAAGAGCTGGGGGATGAAGCTCGCTTCGCGGGACATAATTTCCGAAATCCCAGTGTGCTGTGATCCCTCTGCTTGCCTGAAGACTGGACCCTCCATCTCATCCTCCCGAACCCTCCTTCTTGCAGTCCTGACCTGCCATAGTTCACCCTGATACCTTGAGCCCAAAGTCACCCAGAACACCTCAGCTCACCTGCTCTGGCTGCTCATGGCTGTCACAACCCCTTGCTGTGTCTGCTCCCCCTCTCTGGGTCCCAGGTTTTGGGATTCCATTCTTCTCACTTCCCGTTGATTCTCTCTTCTCTTAAACAAAACCAAACCTGGAAATGGGAATGAAGATTAGGAGGGGGTCCACAGAAGAGTCATCGATGTGTGACAGGAGCTTCAGGCTGGTGCGCTGAGGTGTTCAGAATGGGGCCATGTGGTACACATGCTTTGCTGTTTTCCATGTTGTGTATAAGCCATGAACTATGCAGAGAGCTGGTGTTTGGGGAGTGCTGAATGTGTGATCATGTTTGGTAAGGCTTTAGCGTGTGTGTGTGTGTTTGTTTATTTATTTATTTATTTATTTATTTGTTGTTCAGCTTGTCAGTCAGTCAACTCCCCATAATGATAGTCCAAAACTGGCATAACTTGACAGGGCTCGGCATCTGTATTTTCATGTGGCTGCACGGGAAGGGTAACAGAAAAGAGCCTTAGTGATTATTTCATTTAGTGCACTAACTGACTTTTGGAACTTCACAGAGTGTCGCTGCTGTGTGCCTGGAGGGTTTCCCCCACCCACAGCTCTCTCCCCTGGCCCTAGGCCTCTCTCCAGCTGCACTAGAGCACTGTCTCCCTCCCCACGCCATGTCCCACAGTCGCCACTGCCTCTGTGGCTTTGAAATGAACTCCGCCATTAAAGTCTGAATCACAGTGCACCCCTGTGTCTGAGGAGTGTTACTCTCTGCTCCATAGGAGAGAAGGGAAGACAAAGGACCGATATTGGTGGAAATACATAGCAGATCTGGGGAGGACACAAAAAGGAAAAAGCCACCAGACATATGACCAAGTCTGTATGTAGCATTGCTGACTAGGTGGAGGCCATGGTGACTTTGCCTTCTTTTGTTTTGCTTTTTCGTTTGTTTGAGACAGGGTTTCTGCATAGTCCTGGCTGTCCTGGAACTCGCTCTGTAGGTCAGGCTAACCTCAAACTCAGAAATCTGATTTTACCTTCTTTTTTCCTTCCTTCCTCCTTCTTTCCTTCCTTCCTTCCTCCTTTCCTTCCTTCCTTCCTCCTTTCCTTCCTTCCTTCCTCCTTCTTTCCTTCCTTCCTTTTATGAACTAAAGATTTTTAACCTTTGGTCAAGATTCCCTCAAGTGTCAGGGATAGTGTGTATCTGAGGTGAAGAGTAAAGTATTTCTGGTTCCCAACATCTTTGACCGAAGAAGGAACAAAATGGTAGACTGAAAACTAAAAGTTCCTGTACTGGGCCTCCTCAACAGAATGTTGGATGGCTTTGAATGAGACAGGACTTCATGGCAACCGACTTCTTTGGACTACAGAGAGGAGGAAGGGGAGGGAAGAATGGTATGGGGTGGGGGGGCTGAGGAATCTGAGTGCTTCAGTAAACTGGATGCAACACCTGAAGGGCTCAACGGCCTCCCTCCGGGATGGCCTGACTGTGACAAAGTCATCAGTGTGTGGCTAGAGGCCCTCTAACTTTTCAGCTCCGGTGGGAGGTGGTGTTGAACCACTCAGGCTAGGGACCACCCTGAGGGTCAAACCCTCTTTTCTGATGGCTGGTTATGCTTTGGGTACAAAGCAGGCAGCATCTGCCCATGGGTAGCTGTGGCCACTAGAGGGAGCCCAAGTTCTGCAGGACACCATTACTAAATGCCAAGGTGAGTTTGGAGTGGGAAGAGTTTCAAGGTTGCACCCTCTACCCTCCTCTGTCATCCTCTGGTCCCAGGCTCCCCCAGGCTCCCTTCCCCTTCTAGGGCTGGTGAAAGGGTGGGGGCCACATCTCATTGCCCTCCTTCCTGGATCCTTCAGCTCTTTTCAGTTCCAAGACCCTCTTGCTCTCTCTCCTTCCCTGTACCTCTTAATTTCTATGTAACCATCCCATCTTTCCCTTCTCTCCTAGCGCCCCAGTATGTCTCCCCTGGGACTCAAAACACTTTTCTTAGAAACTCCCAGACTGGCCAGGGCCGTTGTAGCTGCAGCCGCCTTTGCTAACCCGGCCTTTTCTTCCCTTCATCCCAGCTAGGTGTCTCTGTGACAGGCACTCCTACCCCTCCAGGTACTGGGTTGGATTGGGTTACAGCTAGCTCTGCTTGGGCCTCCGAGGCCCCTCTCTACTTTCCTTTTGTGCCGTTGCCTGGAGACCAGTGGATTGTGGGGGGCTGGGGCCAGAGAAGGAGCTGGGGTGAAGGATGGGGGTGGGGTGATGTGATCCTCCCAGCAGCCAAGCTATGAGCCTGGCCTTGGGTACCACGCACGAGGGGTAGTGCTGGCTTCTTTTCCTGGTCTCATTCCCCGTCCTTATCCAAGGCCTAAACTATTTTCTTTTAGACTTAGATAAGTTGCCATGTTGGCGTTTGCCTTGGTGGTTAAACAAGGAGAAAAGCTGCTCAGTCTAGAAAAGATTTGGAAAGGGCCAGGGCCAGGCCCAGTGGGAAACTAGAGGAAACGCTATGGGGAGAGGGAGGAGGGAGGAGTCTCAGAGCAAAATTGGTGGAGAGAAGGAGTAGAGGCTGTCCTGGTGCTTAGAGGAAAAGAAGTGCCAGGCACAGGAAGACGGAGCTGGCCTGGTCTCTGGGAGGCACGGGAAGGGGACAAGAAGCTGGACATGAGGGTAAAGTGAGTCCCTGCAGAGTGGGTTGATGGTGGGAATCTGTTTCCCCAGTGTTTGGGAATCTGTTGAGAGCTTTGGGGTAAGTTCAAGAACTTGGCTGAATATGGCCTAAGGAATGGTGACACAAAATCTTCTGAGTTGATGCCAGGCCAGCCTTTCCCCTTCCTTCCCCAAAAGTAGTCTGCCCATCCAGTGCCCCTACTCCACCCGCTTGGTTTGCAGCTAGACTGGCCCCACAAATGCCCTACTCCCTCCCCAAACCTGGCGAACTGCTAAGGGTTCCAAATCCAGGCTCCAGTTCCAGTTCTTCCAGGCGCCCAGCCTGCCTCCCTCCCTTTCTCCAGCCTTCCCAATTTCAGCTGCCAAAAAATCACCCTGTCTCTAGTGTCCTTTGTCCTGAGAGATGTTGCTGCTTGGTGTGGGGCCAGACAGGGAGCCAGAAGAAGACACGGGTGGACCAATGGGGGGTGCCGGCTTCGCGGCTGCAGACTGGACTCGACTGACACACTGACAGGAGAGTTAGGGGCATCACGCTGTGGTCTGTGGTGGGGACTGACAATTGTTAGAGGCAATCAGGGCACCTAAGGGTGTGGATAGGTCCTTTCCACTCCATCCCTTCTGTGACCATGACCGAAGATGTTTAGTAGTAATGACTTCAAACAGACTTGAGGAGGAAAACGGATCCGTTAGCAAAGGAAGGGCCCAAATGTGAAGTGCTGTCCCTCAGTTACCTCTTACACGGCAAGGTCTGCCGCCCACATTCTGTCACTTCTCCGTGGTGTTTCCCTTTTCCATCGCATCACCAGCCCTTCCTCCATGATGCCACGAAGGCCCTAGTTATCTCGTGTTTTCCTCCAGTCCTAATCCATTCTCCTCCAATTTATTTGCCAAAGGAAACAGTTCTTAGTTCTATTGAAAGTCCCCACCTTGGTTTCATCAACACACCCCAAACCCCAGTCTCCCTCTAGAACAGGCATCTGCTCCCACCTTTTAAAATCTCTTCTGAGACCTCTCATGCCTTTGCTCCCACAGGGGCATCTATAACCCCCCCCCCCAGCTTCCCTTCATCGCTCCCGAATTCTTGTGGTTTGCATTCTTTTCAACACCAATCACCCCTTAAACTCTTATCTCTTCCAGAAACACCGTCCTCTTAGTCTGTCTTCATCTTTTCATCCTTTTCCTTCCAGGTCTCCAAACTTCCATCGTCTTGTCTCCGAAGCAGCCCCTAAACACCTCCAGTCTAAGGCTATGTGGCCCTTCCTCTCCATCTTCCCCATAGAGCCCCATTATCCCAGTCTCTACTTCAGTGCCCCCTCAAACTCCTCCCCCTTCGCCCCGCCACAGCCCCTTGTCCCCAAACTTCTGCAGCCTCCCCACGTCTGCTCTCAGAGTCCACAGCCCCTCCCACCCAGCCCTCTCGCGCTCGGGGCCCGCGAGCTCCCCACGCTCTGCGCCGCGAGGCCCTCTCCCTTCGCGCCCCGGCCGGCTGCGGCCAAACTCGCCCGGCGCCTCCCCTTCCCCGATCCTCCGCCCCCCCTCCCGCCCCCCGACTGCTGCGCGCTCCCTCCCTCGCGTCTCCTCCGGGCCCCTCTCTCCTCCGTTCCTCCGCGCTCCCTCCTTCTCCCTCTTCCTCCTGCTCCCATCCCCCTCTCCCGAGCGCCCTCCCTCCGCCGTCCGCTTTCCTGTGCGAGTCGCCGGACGCGCCGCCCAGCCCGTCCGCCCGCAGCCCCGCGCCGGGCCGGGGCCTCGGGCCAGGACGCGTTTCGGGGCGGCTGGCCTCGGGGCGGGCTAGGGGCGCGCGGCACGAGCGGCTGCAGGGCCGGGGGTCGCGGGCCTCGCCGGGGCCGCGAGTGCGGGCGGAGGCGGGCGGCGCGGCGGGGGCGGGCGGCGCGTTCGGGGCGGGCGGGCGGACGGGCGGGCGGGGAGCGCGAGAAGCCGATCGGGGCTGCGCGGGGAGCGAGGCATGGGGGCCGCCCTCCGGGGGGGCCGGGGCCGCCGCCGCCGCCGCCGCCGCGGCGACTGAAACCGCGCAGAGAGGAGGGGCGGGGAGTGGCCGCCGCCGTCCCCGGGAGGCGCCGGAGCCCGACTGCACTCGCAGCCAGCCAGCCGTCCCGAGCCGCTCGCAGGTAAGATCCGCTGCCGCCCTCCCGGGCCGCCCCGAGTCGGCCCTCGGCTCCCTGCCCCCATCCCTCCCGGGCCCCCCTCCCGCCGCCGCCTCCATTTGTTATTTTCCCGGTCGCGTTCCCTCACTGCGGGCACGGCCGGGCCCGAGGCTGGGGGCTCAGGGGGTGGGGCCGCCCGGAGGAGGGACGCGGGCCCGGGAGTCGCGAGCTCGGGAGGGGGGGGGAGGAGGGCTGACGGGGCCGAGCGTCGCCAGGACCAGAGCCGAAAGGGGAGGAACGCCGAGGTGAAGACTTGG